TTTTTTTTTTATTTTTTTTTTTTTTTTTTTTTTTGTTAAGAATTAAACTTGACTTTGGTGCGTTTTCTTATGACCTAAGTAAGGGGACAATGTTTACAAATAACTTTTGGACTGGTTATTTCAGTGAAGTAATTTTAGTTGTTACGTTTACTGGACGTCTTTTTTCTCGATATTTTTTTTGCTCTTTTTTTTTTTGCAATCTTAAAACAAAAAAAATAGAAACATGATTTTTCCAATAAATATCGCTTTGTAATAAATCAAAGACCATTCTGTTTGCAGTGTAGATGCCAAACGAAAACACTTGTGCTTTTCAATTCATCGGTTGTTTGTTTGCTAATGAAAGAAAGGGCACGCCTGTATTTCTTCCTATTTTTCACTACTGTATCTGGATTGGTACCATTATGACAGTTACGTTAATGGTTGTGCACAAGGATGATGACATTAAACTTTATCAGTTCATGAGATAGGTAAATTGGTTATTTAAGTTCAGTGTAATTGGCATTTTGTATATTTGAAAAATTCAACAACTGTTACTCCTTCACTAGAACAGACATCAGTTCAATTTCAGTGGCACTGCACAAGAGTCTCGTCGTCTGCGTTTACAGTATGTTTTTTCAGTTTTGTTTTTGATCTTTCTATTTCATATCGAGCAAAAGAGTGATAGTTTAACGAGGTTTTAATGATTTTCTACATAGGCGTTGTTGAATGAATAAAATTCAGTGATTTGAAAACTTAAAGCATCAACTTTAACTTTACTGAAACGGTGTTGAATTTAAAAATATATAACTTTTCAACGTTGTTTTTTTTATTATAATTTTATACCATCTTCTGCTTGTTGAGTGGTAAATCTCAATATTTGAATCTGACTAGTAAATGAGTATAGATTTTTAGAAAAATCTAATGACGAAAAGTGTAGTTATGTAAAAAGTATAATATTTGATGGTAGTAAGAATTGTATGGACCGTTACAACATTATCTAGCTTTATCTTGCGCCTGTAATATCAATGTATTTGATTTTTTAGATTATAAAAACTGCTTTAAAATATTTTGAAATTTTTTAAATTCTAAGCAAACTGTCGAATTTTTTTCCTTTTTTGTTTTGCATTACACAACGGTTTTGTTAATTTTTTTGTTTGAAATTTTTTTTTACTTGATGTTCGCTGATTTCAAGAGAACGGCAGCGTTTTGATGCTGTTGATTAGTTTAACATGTTATTTTCAAACATGCATAGTTTATATAAATCAAGCACATTTTGCTGACTAATGTATTTGAATCAACTTTTGATTTTTTCCTTTCAACTTCAAATTTATACACACCTTTGGTTTTGTCAATTTTGCTGACTATGATGGAAACTGGCTTTGAAAAACCTGGAGAAACCGATAAAGGTCCCATTTTTGATGTAACATGTGAGAAGTAATTTAATTTACATGTTATAAGGTTCTTAGCTATGTGTAGTTGTTGTTGGATTTTACCGATCCTTTATCGTTGACCGTCTGACAATTTTTTAAGTTCAACAGTAAGCACTAAATTTTTTCAAAAGCGAAACACTTCTTTTAGTGTCTTTTGTGAAATAGCAACGTTTTGAATGACCATTAGTGGTTGTTTTGAAATTTATTGCACTTTTAGGCTGTAAAACAACCGGTGTTCATAGGTGCGTGAATAGTGTTCGTGATTTGTTTTATTTTTTGTTTTTCACTTTATTTTCTGTCTTTTTTTTTCTTGTTTTGATTTTGTTATTTGATTAATGTGCAGGAAGAAAAGGGAAATTTTTGATTTTTTTAACGTTTTAGACGTAGTCAAAAGAAATAAGTTATTTGGAGTTAGTTTTATGCCTGTTGAAGACGAAAGGCGAAGTACTTGGTTGTGCTAGTTTTTCTTGGGCAAAAAAAAACCGATTAAAGCAATTGGTATTCAAATACTTTTTTTTGAATATTCATGGCCTTAGACAATCTAATGTTTTTAAAAATGCAAAAAAAAAAGCTGTAGGAGGAGGAGAAAGGGGACTAGGATGAAAAAGAAATAATACTTCCGAATTTGTGTTTATTTTGGTCAGCTTAAAATACTTTTAAGTTTTTATCGATTTCAAAACGTTGTTATCGGACGAAGTATTGAAAAAAAGGATTACTGAATTACATTTAATCAAATAAATGGAAAAGAAGTCTTTTTCTTTTCTTTCCATCTCCTCCTCTTCACTTAAATGTTACGTGAATTTAGGCAGTTTTTGAAAGGTATAATGTTTAAAAGTTAAACTTGGACTAGAGTGAGATTTTTAAACAACTGGAAGATGTGTGGAAGCCTGTTGGTATAGTGCAGCAGCAGCGTTCGCAAATGAACGGTGGATGATATCATTATCAGGCGATTCTTGAGCCACTGCCAATGCTGACCAAATGCAGTCCTGATGTTGTGTAGAAATCGGCTACAGATGAGGTTCAGCTTGATTGTGAGCTCACATTTTGGACTTTATTCAAATGGAACGTATGA